TTGTTTTTCAGAGTCCATCGTCTCTCATGGTTCGTCTCCCCCTACGATTTCCTCCCCTTCATTCTTCCCCTCCTGCTATCTTCTTCTTTTTTTTTTTTTTTTAACATATAATGTATTATTTGTTTCAGAGGTACAGGTCTGTGATTCAAGAGTCTTACACAATTCACAGCACTCACCATAGCACATTAACTTTTGACTATATTTCCCTTTATAGAGGTTAGGTTAACCATAATTGTCTCCCTGATTTTCATCTTTATTTTTCATCTTCTGACAGTGACTTCTCAGCCTGTTTCCCAAATATTTAAATATTTGACAAGCATCAGTTTTATTACTGGGAATCACTTTAAATGATTTAATGATAATCATAATGATAACATGGACCTGTTTACTGTTTTTCAAAATCATTTTAAAATAGTATTTGATTGTAAGTTAGAGTAGCCGAATAATTGAATTTAGTTTCTTGATTTTCTTTTTATGTAATCTTTACTGTGTTGAAACTCTCTGCTTCATGGTAAAAATACCCAGATCATACAATTTCTGATCCTATTTTGGGGAGGCCATTGAAGAATCCTCTAAATTGTCACTTGTCACATGGAGAGAGGATTCTTCCAGAACCCTCAATATTTTTTTCTAACAACATGATCCATTTTCACTTATTGAAAATAAATACTATTGAGCACCCGGTATGTATTAGACATTAAGAGTGTAGCAGTGAAGTCAGACAAAGTCCCAGTTCACATGGAGTTTGTTTCAGAGGGAAAGACTGAACAATGCATAAATTAATAATTTGCAGGATGATGTTATTAACTCTTAGATATTTATTATTTTGTAAGAGGTACATTTGCTTTCTTCATCGTGTTAACATATAAATGAATTTCTTAATCTCTGGATACACATGTAGTAGGATTTTTTGTGGTTGCTTTTGGTAGTGGTTTTGTTTTGTTTTGTGTTTGGTTTTTGATGATTTAGTATACTCAGTCTGAACATTGCTGAATAGGAGTGGAAGTGTAAGATTTTTGGAGTAGTTCACAAAATTAGCCAAATTTAAATCATTCTATATTACTAATATATTATCATACTAATGTTAATTTCAATGTGCTGTATCTGATACATTTTGAAACATCTTATATTCACTCACCGAAGCAGCATATTACAATAAAATGTAAATGTTAAATATCATGGTTTAGCATTTTCTGAACATTGGAATCCAGTTAATTCAATAACAGCAATACATATACATATAGGCCAGTCATTGAAGTCATTATTCCCGTTTTTCACATTCAAGTTTATATTTTGATTTTTTTTTTATTCCTGTGGGAAACATTTTTTTTAATATCTGAAATATGTCTTCAAATATTTTTATTCCCTTTTCAGGAATTTGCTGCTCTGACAAAAGAATTAAATGCCTGTAGGGAGCAACTTCTAGAAAAGGAAGAAGAAATTTCTGAACTTAAAGCTGAAAGAAACAACACAAGAGTAAGTATAAAACCACCTCTGCTTGGAATCAGTTCCATATACAGTTCAGTGCCTTATCTCTTGTATACTCATAAGAATATAAACATTTAAAAACTTGAGGAAGGGGCGCCTGGGTGGCTCAGTCGTTAAGCATCTGCCTTCGGCTCAGGTCATGATCCCAGGGTCCCGGGATCGAGCCCTGCATCGGGCTCCCTGATCCACAGGAAGCCTGCTTCTCCCTCTCCCACTCCCCCTGCTTGTGTTACCTCTCTCACTGTGTCTCTCTCTGTCAAATAAATAAATAAAATCTTTTAATAAATAAATAAAAATAAAATAAAAACTTGAGGAAGACGTTAAGCAGACACCAACTCATAGTCTGTTACTTCAAGTAGCAGAGACTATTCTATAAAACTCAAAACAGGAAGACCAGAAACCTAAATTACAGTCTCAACTTCCAAATCACCGTGTTGCCTCAGAAAATGCTTTTATTCCTTCTGGCCTTTGCTTTCTTTGACTTTAAAAAGAAGGACTGGATTTCGACAGTCTCAGACTTTCAAACTGTTGTACTGGAGTAGGGGGCCAATACTCAGAGGCTGGAGGTGGGCAGAGAAGAGTTTCTCTTCTCTGGAAGAGAAGGCTCAGAGGCTCAGAGGCTGGAGGGGAGTATGAGTTTCCATTATGGGGTGATGTGAGGGAGTGGCTTGGCATTGGTCCTCACCTCGTTAAAATGTAAAAAACCACTGAAGCAGAACTCTCCTAATTAAAAGAGGCATAGCTTTTCTATTTTGGAAGATGATTGAGGAGACTTCTGTTCTGATGTCATGATTTTGATGGACTCTTGTATCTTCTGCTCTTGGAAACCCATGTCTCTTTCAGTCTCATGCCCTGTAAAACTGAAGTCCAGAATTTGATCAAAGGTGCTGTATTTTCTTGTACAGAAGAAATAGTCACTAAATTTCATAAAATATATAAATCACCAGATTACCTATACCTATTACTAGAGAACAGTTTCTCTATTAAAAGAATGTGGAGGAGAAAACACTTTTGTGTGGATATATAGTTCAATTTCAACATGAAGTAGGTGAAAAATATTTTCAGTATTAAAACTCTGGCAGATCAATGCTAAAAAATAAGAAAGTGAGGTATTGTTAATAGTGTATTCATTTGATGCTTGGTCTTAGAGAATAATATAAAAATAATAGCTCCATAAACAGTGAGCTTGTGCCTTTAATGAGGAGTACCATGTATCCATAATGGTTATATGATCAAACTCAATTTATCTCCTTATTCATCAGGGTCTTATTTTTATGGTTAAGAGAATTCACACAGTATACACACAAGATTTGGTTTTCATTGAGACTTTGATGACTGCCTCAAATAGAACATAATGAGGACAGTTTAGATCATGTTCCCAGGTGTCTGATGAATTTTTTCTATTTCTTTCTCTCTGTTGACATTTTTTCCCCACCCTTGTTTTCTAACTTACAATTTTTTCATGCAAATTTAAAGTTTATTTCTGCCATGAGATTTGTTCTGCCCTATTTCACTATTTTCCATTTTAATGCTTTAAGCTACATTCCCTGATGTTGCACAGTACAGCCAAATGTAAAAGTAGGATCAGGAAGCTGAACATGGAAGGAAATGTAAACTTCTTGGTAAACTTTCAACAAATTCTCATATTTAAAATGCACCAGAAATTCTTCCTTTAGCTGTGTGTTTCTCCTTTATACAACTTTTTTTTTTTTTTTTTTTGTCTACAGCCCTTTACTCCTTTCTAATGCCCTATGAGGGACATGTTATAATTATCCCCATTTTACAGATGAGGTAACTGCTCAGAAAAAGGCAGATAACTTGCTGGATATTATGCAGTGAATAAATAGAAGAGAAAAGGGATTTGAAAGCTAGGGCAGTCTAACTCCAAAGCCTGTGCCCTCAGCCATGAGGCCATTAGCACAATTACTCAAGTTAGATCCATGGAGGAGCACCTGGGTGGCTCAGTCGGTTAAGCATCTGACTCTTGATTTTGGCTCCAGTCATGATCTTGGGGTCGTGGGATCAAACTCTGCATGGGCTCCACACTCAGCTGGGAGTTGGCTTGAGATTCTCTCTCTCTTTCTTCCTCTGCCTCTTCTTCCAACTCATGTGTGCTCTCCCTCAAATAAATAAATAAATCTTTTTTTTTTTTTAAGTTAGATCCATGGAAAAACTCCCAAGATTTACAACAGCTTAGAGAAGACTTTGCCGTAAGAGTACACCACTGCAGTATGGAGTGTATCATTCCTTCCTGATTATGACTAATTTCAGAGAACTCGGAGATTTGGCAGGAGCATCCATACAGTCTTCATCATATTACACTCTGTCAGGCCCAGAAGGACCTGTGGCTCTTGTACCTGCAGAGGAACCTTGGGGGTAGAGGCAGTAAGGCAAGCTCTACTTGCAATACCTCTTCAGGGGTCAAAGTGAGAAAAATACAAATATTAAATTCCATTAGGGTAACAAAAATTGAAGCCATTGATTTTAAACATGAATAATAGTTACTCTGAAAGCATGAGTAAAGCTGGAAAACATTTTTTCCACCCTCCTTAAAGCAGTGGTATGAGGATTTTTGTTGTTGATTAGGGAAAATAGGGAAATGGATCTAGGAAAACTTTGTGCAAAGTATCAATTATATAACAACTTCCTAAATTACATAACCACCTGTTCCCCTCCCCACCACCCAAAAAATATCCAGGGCTAAAAATCAGCCATATCTTCTTCATGATTCCAGAGTCCCAGGATTGAGCCCCGCATTGGGCACCCTGCTCAGTCAGGAGTCTGCTTTTCCCTTTGACCCTCCCCCTTCTCATGCTCTCTCTCTCACTCAGATAAATAAATAAAATCTAAAAAAAAAGCTTTATAGCAGCAGCCAAGGTTATGTTGAATTCAAATCTAATAAGAAGTTGTATAATATTAGAAATTTAGTTCAAAAATCTCCAATGATGCAGTATGTACGTATGCATATATACTATGATATGTTTATAGATATACAGGCTGTGGTCATTTAAAATGAATCCCAACATAGGATTAGTGGTCATTTACGTAGTCTTTGCAATCCTGTGAGTACACCAAAAAGAGTGCCTTCTGCAATATTTATTAAATATTAGATAAAAGTGCAGCTCCTAGCAAAGGTATACAATTTGTAGCTTGTTAGTGTTATCTTTGTGAGTTCCTCTTCATTTTTCATTTATTTTAATTTATAAGCTTAGAAGTCATGGATACGTGCTAGTTTTGAACATTTTGGCCCACATTCTCCAGGCTAGATAACTTATATTTATCTTACTTCAATTCAATATGTGAGTATTAAGCAGATATTCTATAGAATATTTTCCTAAGTATTGAGGAGTACTGAGGATAAGTTAAATTGTTAAGCCCCTAAGAAGTCTGTTTTATATTAATAAGAACACATTATTTGGTTTTATTATATCCTAATTGCATAAAACAGTACAGCTTAACTGTTTGAATCAAGAAGACATTAATTAAGAAATGTAAGAAGTCTCCAAACCTAGCTTCCATGCACAATGTCTAGGACCATATTTCTTAGCTTTGGTGAGTTTTCCTTACATTCCTAGTCCCAGAAACATGCAGCCTTTACTACCTGTGCTGACAAAATGGACCCCCATGCCTAGCATGGCTCCTCATTTGGCTCCCTTCAGAATCTGTCCTGTGTGGGTGGCTCTGGTTGGCTGACTCTTAAGTCACTTGTCTGCCACCTGGTGGTTAAACATGCCTGCAAAGTGTTTTTTGTTTCCAATATTGGGAAGATGACGTTCAGCATTCAGGTAATTATCAAAGATGGAGGGTATGTACAAAAGATTTTGGGCAACCACAAATACCAAGTCTCCATGATAAACTAACTTTTATTATACTCTTTTTCATATTAAAGCTCTATACAGCAGCAGTACTAACATGTAACTACCCAACAATACAACTATACCTCTTAGACAAAAACAAAATCACCTTTTCTCAAAAAAGAAGGTGCATGCATCCAGCCACAGGACCAGGGTTCTTCCATATGTACCTTCTTGCTCTTATTAAATCTCAGTCATATCTTAATATTCTGTAATGTATGGACTACTTTAAAAGTTAATCAGAATCAAATACCCAGTATACAAGAGTAAAAGGGGAAAATAATTTAATATACATTATGTATATGATATAACAAAAAAAATAAAATCCTCTCTTCTCCAAGTGATCAATAAGTCTTATTGGTAATTATAAATTCCAATTCTAAACCTTCATTCCTGGACCTCTATATATGGACCAATATATTCATCACTAACTCTAAATATATACTAATTTCAGGATGATAGCACCCCAACCTAGCCATGTGTTATCTCCAAGCAATAATTAAGATAGACTCTTCCTTGGGCCATTTAACCGTTTTATAGGATCACCTGCTTCTGAATGATGTGATAGCATGGTGAAACCAGGGCTGGGAACATCAGTCAATTGCATTACTCCTTTCACTATAAAATGAGTGTTTTTTTTTTCTTCTTTCGGTCAGATGTAATGTTGTATATGATAATAAGACTGTAAGCAGGGGACGCCTGGATGGCTCAGTCGTTAAGTGTCTGCCTTCAGCTCAGGTCATGATCCCAGGGTCCTGGGATCGAGACCCCCATCGGGCTCCCTGCTCAGTGGGAAGCCTGCTTCTCCCTCTCCCACTCCCCCTGCTTGTGTTCCCCCTCTCGCTATGTCTCTCTCTGTCAAATAAATAAATAAAATCTTTAAAAAAAAAAGACTGTAAGCAAAAATCTGATAAGATAGTATTGCTAGTAGAAGCAGAGCCATTAGAGAAGGCAAATCCATATCCAGAAAACATTTATTACATTAAGAAAAGGCAGCCGCCCCCTCCTTGATGGAAGGGATTTAATGTAATCTACTTGCTTCAAGGTAACTAGCTGGTCTCTAGGTATACTATATCATGAAATGGGTTCAAAATTGATGGCTACAGCTAATCACTTGGCCATTCAGCTGTGATGGTAACCCTATCAACCTTAATGGTGAGAAGCCCATTTTGCAAGGTCAATGAGTAACTTCTCTCCCTGAAACCATGGGCACTTTTTCTGCCCACTGAGCAAATGTGGTGGTGGCCAGAGAAATAGGCTAATATCCAAAAGGTGAATCATTTTTGTCTATGAGATTATCAAAAACCTCTACAACAGTGGGTACCAAAGAATTAGTCCTAGTTCAGAGATAATATCCAAGAAATTTGGTGTTCTTTTTTCCTCAGTACTGTTGACATGGTATAATGGTTATAGATGCTTTTAGAGAAGATCTTCTGATTAGCTATTGCTTCATAACAAACCACCCCAAAATTTAATGTCACAAACAACATTTTACTGTACTCACAGATTCCATGAGTCAGGGATACAGAAAGGGCATAACATTTGCGCTCCCAACACTGATGACTAGTGACACTGATGTGCTGGTAAATGATTTTTTTACCAGGAAAAAAAAAATACTAATCTATATAGTGTTTGGAATTCCCATGGTGTAAATACTCCCACTGTAGCTGATTTCAAGCTACCAACATGATGTCACTGAATGCAGAGGTGGGAAACGATGCAAGATTGGCAAACAGTCTATAGTATTTCTACCATTCAAATACAATAGAAGTAAACAACCCAAGGAGCATGGGATATTTAGGAACTTTACTAAAAACTTGGAATTTGGGGCGCCTGGGTGGCTCAGTCGTTAAGCATCTACCTTCGGCTCAGGTCCTGGGATCGAGCCCTGCATCGGGCTCCCTGCTCCGCGGGGAACCTGCTTCTCCCTCTCCCTCTGCCACTCCCCCTGCTTGTGTTCCCTCTCTCACTGTGTGTCTCTCTGTCAAATAAATAAATAAAACCTAAAAAAAAAAAAAAACCTTGGAATTTAGTAATATAATTAGGAAGTAATACATTCTGAGTGTTTATTATCTTTAAAAATATTTTTATTTAATTATAAGCTTGCATGATTTAAGCTTTAACAATTACTGTGTCTTAACCACTGGCTCACAGAAATCCTGAGAATTAACGGTCCACTCTAGCAAGCTGGTATGAGCCAGCTTTAGCACACCATTTGCAGGGGAGAACGAGAATATCTGGACTCTGAAAGGTCTACTGGGAGCAAACTGTTTCACATAGGTTATGGGGCTTTGTATGAACTTAACCCTGCTTATCTGGTGTTGATCTTTCTTTGACAAACTTTGCTCTGACCATACCAGCCTCCTTCGGTTTCCTTAGAAGCCAAGCCTTTGCCTGTGCTGTACCCTCTGCCTGGAGTCCTTCATCTGGCCCCTCATCTGGCCAGCTCTTTCTCATTCTTTAAGTCTCAATTTAAACATCACCCTCTCACAAAGGAGATCTCTCCTCTTTTCAGCTCCCATAATTCTATTTCAGGGTTAAGTTCACACAAAATCCCATAGCCTGTGTAAAACAGCTTGGATTTAACCAATGCATGCATATATCTGTAGAAGTCAAGAGAGTAGAACACCAGGAATATAATCAGATTGATAAATAAAAGGAAAGCTCTTTGAAAATACTGTGTCATCATCATACTGAAGAACTATTAATATTATTTTGACCCTTAAATGTGATCCCTACCTGCTGATCTATATACATTTCGGATTTCAGATGTTTGTCTTCTTTTGTACCAATGCATGGCAAAGTTTTCTGACACTTTGAACCATAATTAGTGATGGTGAATGGAAAGAAATTCATTTATTAAGGACTAAGAAAGGTGACACTAATATGTGACACTGAATCTAACAACTGTGAAAACCAAGAATTTCCCCTACTTTAGGAAATGTAAGCTTTAGGAAAAAGCCTGCAATTTTTTTTCCTTTCCTTCTTTCCATCCCAGTATCTTATATCTGCTTTTCCCTTTTTTGTTTGAGTAATTTCTGCCTTATTTTACATAGACACCATTTGTTAGCCTATGCTTTTCACTATCCTTCTGAAAATCTCTCCTACAAAACTTCCTGCTCATGTCTTGTTTTTCCCTGGCAAAATCTCAATAACTGAGAAGTTAAACCAGCAGGTTTTTTTTTTTTTAATGTATCTTTGTTTTTAGAGGCAGAACTCCCTTTATTAAACGAAACGAAGGTGAAGCCCCAATTCACAAAACATTGAAACGTAAAATTTCTTTGGGAAATGTTAGAACAGACTGAAACACTGTTCACTGGACTTTCTCCAGACTCTGTCATGGCTCCAGAGGCTATTCTGGGTGAATGTAGGTTCTAGAATAGACAGTTTGAAAAGCATGCACTTTAACCTCCTTTCCCCTAGTGATTATTGCAAATCTCGGTTACTGTATGCCAGTTGGTTGCATATATTTTTTCTATTATTTCTATTTCTATTAAGAATTAATTGTAAATAAAATCATTATTTTCCCTATAATCTTTAGAGCAACATGTGATTATAACTATCACTCTAATCACTACATAAATATGATTATCGCTATAATCACATTCAAAGCAACCTGATTATGTTATGCTCATTACCTTCATTGCAACACCAAATGTAAATTAAATTGGTTTTGACTTTTAATACTTTTTTCTTAACACAATCATTATTGTGTTAAGAATTGTACCATGTTCTTTAATAATTATTCTATTTGATCATGCCTATTTTGTGTTCTGTTTCTACTGAATTCATGCTGAAATTATTAAATTGTTTAAAAGAATGCATAAGAATTTACATGATATTTCTTAAATGAGCAATTTGTTATATACTAGAAATGGGACTTACTTTAATGTAATTTAGGAACCCTGGTTTAGACTTCTTTGCTGCTACCTGTGATAAAATCTGAGGCTATCATTCGATTCTATGCAAACCTACAATCTTTTATAGTAGTAGTCATGAGTATTAGTAACTTGTGTTCATAAGATAATTACATTTAGGATAATTGCATTTTCTGTTAAACCCAATAGCTGTTACTGGAGCACTTGGAATGCCTGGTGTCCCGACATGAAAGGTCACTAAGAATGACAGTGGTGAAACGGCAAGCCCAGTCCCCCTCAGGAGTCTCCAGTGAGGTTGAGGTTCTCAAGGCACTGAAATCTTTGTTTGAGCACCACAAGGCCTTGGATGAAAAGGTATAGTATTGATAAAGGATTCCTACAATTGTATGTGTTAATTATACCTCAATCAAGCTGAAATGTAAAAAAAATAAAATGAAATAAACTTTTATCTACTAATTTTAAAAAAAGTTTTAGTACTGACAAAAGCTTTCAAAGCTTAACAGTGCTTTTGTCATCAGCATCAAACTCCTTGTCTTCATCTAATGACTCAGCTGACTCCTGATGTAAATCAGTACAGAGAAACACATTTGGATTATAGGAATATCATTTTTTTTAAAATGCAACTGAATTATTATTGTGTGTATATGGGTAATACTCATAACCATGTTGTTTTTATTGCCACTGAACCTATGGCTTATCAAATTATACTTGTCTTGTGTTGCATTATGGTCCTAGTCCAGATGGCTATTTTGAAATTTAATATTGTCATTCAGTCTCCCTCTCTCTTCCTCTCTCTTTCTCTTCTCCCAGCCCCTCTTTGAAGTGCAATGTCTATAGATGGCAACACAGGAGACTGCTAACTGACAACATATCTTGAGGTGTAAATTAGATGTACTCTAACCTTTGGAGATTTATATTAGAAGCATACATTTTTTTTAGATCTCTAATATCTAGTATCTTCTGAATATACATTTTGAAGAGTCTCCACATCTAACAGCATAAGGTGTTAGTGGAAAAAACTGCCTTAGGTCTTTTTAGAAGTAGCAATAAGCTTCTCTTAGCTGTTACTCAAATAACTTTTACTGACATAAATAAGCCAATATGATGATAATATCCTTTGGAGATTAGTAAGGCTTATGACATGATTTTAATTTTGTGAAATGTTAAAGAATTAACTTTTTAAAATCAATAAAGCTTTAAGATTTTGTAGAGTAGGAATTGGGGCACTTCATTAGAAAGTACCTGAGAAGTTCTGAGTATTAAAATCCAAATAAGGGATTATTACCCAGTTATATCTAGGTTTTGAGCATGCAGACACTTGTGCTCTAGTTAATATTTATGTACATAGATACTTTTATCATTGGTCTTTCAGATGTTCTTAGAGCGGGGGATTATGTGAAGTTTGTGCAAAAGGATAACTATAATTCTGTCTTCTAGATTATTAAGAAATTATAGTTTATTTTTCATTTTAGCTGTGAGAGGCAAATAATTTTGAATAAAACAGAAATTGATATTATTTAAAGATCCATGATAAATGTAATATCAAATAATCATATTTAATGTTTAGTTTCATATTCCCTTTCTTATTACAAAAGTACATTGTTAAGAATTTGGAAGACTATATTTATGGAATATCTATTATATGTAGGACAGATATTTGGCCACACAAAAATAGACAAGACATTCTCCTTACAACTGAAGAGATCATAGCACTAGAGATTCATGTCAATAATAGGTAATGTTAAAAAAACAATATGTACAATGCAGTATGAAATAACAGAAAAAGTTGTGACTAATTCTACTTGAGAAAGTGATGAAAAATTCAAGAATATCTTCACAGAGAGGACATGTTGTCTGAATATTAGAGAATGTGTAGGAGTTTTAAAAGCAGAGTCATAAAGATACTCTGCACACCAAGATCAATATGTAAGATAACCCAAAGATGTAGGAAGAGCGTGGCCCGTCCAGAGAAAGTGTAATGGTTTGGAATGCCTTGAATGAAAGTGCTTGAGAATGCATGATTTTAGATGTTCCCTGTAATCATTCCCACATCACTTGAGGGATGCTGTTATGAAAGAATGGATGTAAGGCAATAAAGAATATTGAAGACAAATAACCTGGTGGGTTTGAGTACATTTAAGAAGAAAATAGTTGTACAACTTAAAATTTAGAAATAATTTACTATGTAGATGTTCAGTGAGCTTAGCATAACTAAATGAAGCATTTATACCATGGCCCTAGGAGCTATAATAGTCTTTACTAACTCACCGGAAGTGCCATGGACATTGATGAATCCAGGGGCCACTGAACTGATTATCAGCTAAGTATTGCTGACAGTCTAAAGGAAAAGTGTTATGAGCTTGGATTCTGGAGTTGGACAGATACGGACAAGTGACTTAACTTCTCTATGCATCTGTTTCCTCTTATTTTGAATGAAGAGAGTCACAGTACGTACCTCATAGAATTGTCATGAGGATTAATGGGATCTGACATGCAAAACTCTTAGCCAGGACTTAGCATATGGCCAATGCTCATTAAATGTTAATGAATATTACTATTAATATGTAAATTTCAGTATTTGATAAAACTTTCGAGCTAAGTAAAGATATTGGTGTCACTGTTGATCCACACGCTTGTTTTAAATAGCCTTTTATTTAGTTATTGAGGGATTAATCTGTGCCTTCATAGACAATTTCCCTAAGAATAGCTCACAGCTACTCAAAAGGATAGGGAGGGTGGAGACACAAACTACAACATCCTAATTTAAGTAGTATGGATATTATGTTATAATATATAGAGATGATCAGAAGAAGATGCAATTAACCATGTCTTGAGGACAAGACACTACCAACTTTACCACAGAAGGTAAAGTTACACATGAGGAACTAAATAAAGTATAAAAAAGTGAAGATAGCTGTGAACAATTACAATGACTGGCAGTCTTCATTATTAATGTCCTTATTTATATATCCACTGAGTTGTAGGATCAGATTTTCACAATTAGCTAAGACCAACAGTAATTTTGACATCACTCTCCAATATGTTTACCAATTTCATGGGCTGGAGGAAATGAGAGATATACATGTGTTTTGCAATCATTCAGACATCATTGACTGTTTTTTTTTTCTTTAAAAGACATATTGGCTATGCCTGGGGAATATAAGCAAAAAAAACAGTAAATATGTATGCACTCCTCATATATTTCTGTGATCTGCTATCACAGTGCCAAAACTGGATTTGAACTTTTGGTCTAAGATTTCTTTATAATGTTTTCTGTTATAAGAATGGTAGTTCCAAAATGAAACCCTGCCATACCTTACTTTTAATTTGGAATGTATGCTTCTTCCACCAGAGTTCCTCTTTATCCCGAGACACATTTGTTATTTTTAGGGACTTATTTTATTTTAAATCCTCAGGGATTTAAAATGTAAGTAGCCTTAAAACATCTTTTGGGAAAGAAATTCTTGAGTTATTTTGAAGAAATGTGCCATTATGAAGAAAATAGATGTAACAGATGAAATTAGAAATAAAAAATTCTAGGTGTACATAAATATTTTGGAGTTTACACAATAGCTCCATAAATAAACAACTGATATATATGAACTTAAAGACTACACAGACGGTGGATTAATTGAATGTGGTTAAATAGTAAAAAATCAGAAAAGGTTAAGTAGAGAGCTAAGGCTATCAACTGTGCACTTACATTTAGGAAAAAAAATTAAAATTATAATTTGTCATGGCGTATCAATCATGTCTAGATGGTTCCACAAGAACACCAAATCTAACAAGGAAAATAAAGATAATTATGGCATTCTGCTGGTGCTGTCCTTAACAGAGCAAAGCAAAAAGCTAAAAGGCTTGTCAAAGATAATTTTTTTTCCTGTTAATGCAGTTTTAGCTATGTAGACAAGGTAAGATGTTAAGATTCTTTATACCCTGGAAAAGTTACTCCTTTGGATCTTACTTTTTTTTTTCTTATCAGTTTAGCAGAGATTAGTGCAAGATGAATTAAATACAGAGAATAATTTATCCTCATATAAATATGACTAAAGAATTCATATCATACTACATTGATAATTACAGCACCAATTTTTACATTTACAGCTAATTCAAAATATATTCAGAAATTGTTTTTATTTTCTCATAAAGACAGCTTTGGATTCATTACTCTGTGGGTAATAGGATCTTAAGCTGTAGATACCATTCTAAATTTATGGAGGGTGATTCTATTTTCAAATTGTTTTATAAGCTTAATGATTTTTACTTCTTGGAGGCTCAATATAATGAGAATAAAAAACGCTTAACTTGTAAATAGAAACCAGTTTAGAACATTTTCTGTGATTATTAGTTTAGCAAAGAAAGTCAGGAAGATATTTTAACCTACAAGATAGCCTGGTTTCAGCCATACTTTATATGATTTGAAGGACTCTTTTAGAAACATTCCAATGTGTCAGTATATCTTAAAATAGGACACCTTCACCTCTTCACAGCAATCTAAATGTGATCTGATCAGTGTTGCATATAGTGAGATCGTTAAGTCACATTTAGACTGTTTCATATTGCTGTTCTCATCCACCAGGATCCTTAGACCTTTCTCCCTCAGAACACCCATATTTTATAGTTGGTATTTTAGGAAGTGGGCATAAAACTTTACAATCATCCCTATTAAATATCAACCACATCTAGTAAGATTTTTGTTGATATCTGCTTTCCATATATCAGCAATCCTCCTTATTTTCAGCCTTCAGGATATTTGCTTCTTTTGCATCTATCCAAGCTGCTCATAAAAAGGTATTCCCCAGGTCAAATCATCAAAGATTCCCTTTCAAGTAGCTCTTGTTCAGTTATTAATCAGCACTAATTTTATGCATTTTAATGAACAATTATTTGTCTAACAGCACTGGTACCTGGAAGTCCATCTAGCATGCCTAAATATCAGGAAAGGTTCTAATTATCTTTGAAATCAAATATCAATTTATGTATATATTACTAATTTTCAGAGAATTTCAGCATAATTAAGTAAAAATAATATTAAGCTACTCTCAGATCATTATTCTTTCTCACTCAAGATGTATTTCAGGAGTTAAGTGCACCCAGCCACCTGAATATGTATGTATCAGTTATCATTATACAGCACAAAAATATGGTTGAGATTTTTAAAAATTTCTAATTAGATTCTAGATTAAGAAGATATTAGTGTTTTTTGTCTGTTTACTAATTGGAAAATAATGTTATAATTCAACATTAAAATTGTTAGGTAGTTTTTAAAATATAGTTTATATATTTAACCTATATTATGTATTAATAATTAATTTATTAAACTATATTACTTAACCTATATATTATGTTCTCAGTTAAATCTTATTTTTTTAAAAAAAGGAAAATGTGATTCATTAAACTGTACTATCAATGAATTAATAAAATTAGTTTATAAAAGTATAATTATATATTAAAATACATGTTAACTTCACAAATACTCTAACATTGCCATGCAAAAAAAAATGTATGTTAACTCATAATCAGAAATTCACCATGAATTGCATCTCAAGTTGAAGCTATAAATTTTGTTGATTATTTTCTAAGGAGAATTAAGCCGCTGTAGACATTCATTTTAATTCAGGCAAATCTCTTTCTCTGAATTTCTTAAATTTTTTACATAATAAAAAATACCTTTTTAAATATATGTAATTTAGAGCATATCTAAAGATCTGAACATATAATAACTAAATCAATTTTAGAAGTTCTAAGAAAGCAAGAATTAAAAAACTACTTTGAGTTTCATGTATGAAACATTTGCAAATCACAATTATCTTCAAACTAAATGTGCAGAGTCTTTGGTTCTATAGAATGTATTGGCTTAACCTTTGGTATCTGGAAGCAAGTTAGGAATTCCAGAGTAATCAAGTACTTGCCAATCCCTCAGTAACAATATAGACTTCTAATTAATATAAAATGTATGTGCAATGGACACATTTTTCAGGTTCTAAGAATCCTTTATGAAGTTATTCATACCAAATGAAGCTCATGTATTATTTTTTTTAAAGTAGAAAATTTTTTACCTATGTCATACTTAATCAGTGAGTCTGTTTTTCAGATGAATTCATAATATACTTTTGAACTTTGCCTCCACTTACTTAAGATCAAGCAGGTCTATCTCCAACCCCATTGGAAATTCTTTCATTGGAACACTAAAATGACTTGCTTATAAGGAAATCCCTTGATATAGTGATGCTATAAGGTGACAATGTATTCATAGTATTTATGAGCACTGAGGGCTATAAAGACTTCAATAATTTGCCAAATGTGACTGTCTCTGATAATGGTATTGATGGCTTCAGCACAGTTTAACATGTATGGGATGTACATTACTGCACATATTTTGGTTTTTCTTCTAGGTAAGGGAGCGACTGAGGGTTTCTTTAGAAAGAGTCTCTGCACTGGAAGAAGAACTAGCTGCTGCTAATCAGGAGGTAACATACCAAACTTTCTCCTCTTTTGAGGTGCAATATCACTAACATTATAGCCCTTGTGTTTCACGTCACTTTTATTAAAACTGTCACAAAAAATAAATTACATTCTGTATATGCCACTGAACAAGGTCTGTTGAAACTAGTTGCCAGAGTCATATTTTCTGATTTCTGGTGATTCAGATCTGTCACTAAGAGATGAAAAGAAAATTACCAAGAACTAGCAACAAAGGGGCTTAGAAAGACTGCAGTCAGAATACCAGTCCTTTTAAAAAGTAAAACACAGCTCCAAAATTGGAAAACATGTCAAATATCTGTTAAACTTAGAAAATGTCACAAATGAAGTTAAACTCCTTGGAGATATAAATATACTTCCCTTAAGGTTCTTATTGTTCTTATCTTCTAAGAGCATCATGCCCGTGTTTAGTGGCATCATTGAATCCACTTTTCTTGCTCTCATTCATGACTAAAGTATTATAACCATCTCTGACATTTAAAGAGTTGTTTTTTTCTTTAGAAAAATTTGCTAACTTTGGTTATCAGTACACAAATGAACTTGGGTCATTAGACTAGATAGATAGATAGATAGATAGATAGATAGATAGATAGATAGATAAAAAGTACATTAAAATATATAAAATATATGAAAAATAACCTGGGTAGGCCACCAAAATAGCCCCATCTCATTTTCTCTCTCTAACATTTACTTATAAGGCTACCTTTTTCTCCAGAAATTTATTCCAGTGATGTAAATATTAGTATTGCTAGTAGTAGACATACTAAAATAATCCTACAAAATCTTCTTAGTTTTAAGTAGTTAAAGATGTGGGAGGCTAATGTCCTTAATTATAAATATTATCAAGCCATTCTCCTTAAAATAATATTTGCATTTACATTGTACACACAAATACACATTTTTAAACCATGATAAAAAATCTCGACTAGTATAAATTACCTTGTTCTTTAAGCTAGATCAATTAAACAAGTCTAAAGTTTACCTTTGTTTATTCTAGGTTAACAATTTAAATGTTAGAAAAAAATGGACTTTTAAATGCAGGGAGAATGAGTTCCATGTGAACTAAATGCTAGCAGTGTCAAAAACAGAAACGATGGTACAACAGTTTAAATATATATAGACAAAGCTATTTGGTGACCAGATCAGCTTAGCAAACTGGATGGCTTTAAATAAATAAATAAATAAATAAATAAATAAATAAATAAAGCAAAGGGAACAAAGGGAAATAAGAGATTGGTACATCTTAGTCATCATAGAAGAAAAGATCCTCTGAAATAATAGATAATGACAAGAAGAACTCCGCCTTTTTATGAGAAAGAATAGGTTTTACCAATGACGTAAGTATATGCATTCCTGGAATGTCCAGAAAGAAGATATCAATTGTTTGTTTATTTTGTGTTTTACCATTGTTAATTTTGATTTTCATGTGTGTTTAAAAGTACATTTATTTTGGGTACAGCCCTCAAAATATTTTATTGATAAGAGTAAAAAAACAAAAGCTTTGGCAACTACTACTGGAAAAACCTTGCTTACTGTGTGGTGATAAATCTTCTGTTTGCCAGAGACAAAGGTGTGGTGAGACTTCTTGGCAAAGTTATGTACCCTGAAGTAAAAATATTCCTCAAGTTCAAGTAAGGCTCTCTAAATTTGCTCCAGAGATGGCAACAGAATAGCTCAATTAGATATAAAATGGAAGAACGATCCTTGAGAGAACCAAAGTGGAGGAGAGACCTTTGACAGTTATTTAAATATTTTAGCCTCAAATTTTATTGTAGGCAGCATGGTCCATTTGATTGCGTGTGTATATTTTAAATCATTAACATTATTCTACAATTACTGCAGCCCTTCTGAATGCTTTTTGTTTTGTTTTACATCATTTGCATAAGAGGAAAGTAATTGTGTACTCATTGTTAACTCCAATATGGTTTTTTTTCCCTTGATTTTTATTAACTTCCAGGTGGCTTCACCAGAATCCCTATTTAGGAAGTCACATATCCAAAGATCGGGAAGGGGGTACGGAAGTTCCCTTAGTTTTCTAACAATAAATTGTTTATAAATAATTAATGATTTTAAGAGAGAGTGCATGGGGAAAAGCCAACTTTTACTTCATAATGAAACTTGTATTTCATTATGAAAATAAAAAAAAGAGAGAGAGAGAGAAATCAGAAGACACCTGCAGTTTGACTTCTTAGAATAACAGTTAGTACAAGAAACTTCTATAAACCAGGCATCATGTATTGATGATATGATACATTTAGAAATCTGACCAAAAAAGTTTAGAAAAAGTTACACTATTATCAGCTTCAGAAAGGGGAACTAGATGACATTTGATTATTAGAGGAAGTAATTGAAGAAAGTATTTTAGAAAATAAAGGGCAATTTTTTAATAGAAAAAAACTATCTAAGAACACAGTCTTAAGAACCAAACAAAAATATGTAACACAGACAAAAACAATCAGATACTAGAACAAAATTCTGCAGATGGCCAAATGAGGAAGGGTTTGGGGAAAATTTCATTTGATGCCTCAGATTTTAAATTAAAATTAAAATGTGCTTACAAGTGTCCCTTACAATTCAAATCTGTGCATTTCCTGAGTTCATATAGCAAGCTTGACAAGTGAGGATGCCGTAGTATCCGAATCTGTTTGAGTCCCAAGTTTCTGGTAGTGGTAATAACTGTTCAGATAGCAACGAATTTATCCAAATATATTCCTGAATTATTTCAGTTCCAAAATTCAGAAAGGAGAAATCAGAGAGCAGGGGTTTAGACTGCAAGGGATACATTGATATATTCATACATATATATGCATATGTAGAGTCTTAGAAGATGATAAAATAGAGTTTATTCTATCATCATTATTTTAATAGAGTTTATTCTGTCATCTATATATCATTATTCTCTTTCTGTGTCTATGTATCTGTCCCTGTCTCTGTCTCTCTCTGTCTCTCTCATCTTGTCCCATTCTCATACATGTTTTGGAATTAACACCGTTTAATACCTTTCCTTTATAGAAACTCCCCCATGGAGGCCTCATCTATTTCTCTTACATCCAAGGCTACAACCATGACTTCTGTGAGGGGAAAAAAGAAAAAATCTGTAGCTCAAAGTTCATGCTTTTTTCTGAGCCTCACAAAAGTTTTTAAACATTGGTTTGGCATTTCCACACAGCTTTGCTAATGGTTGTAGAGATCGTTCTCTGCCACAGGTATCCAGCAGGGGACAAAGCAGAGAGATTGAAATCTTCCTCAGGGTTTGCAAATTAAGATATGCACCTGTATATCTGTCATCACCTACAAGGAGCAAATTTTCTAATTTACACAAAGGCACCATATGTGCTGGTGGGCCTGGAACTCTACCTAGTTTTTCCAAGTGTCCCCTTAGATTCCCTATGGCCCATTAATGCAGTGAAATAAGTAGCCTTATTCAAAAGAATATGAGGTGACTATATGTTCTAATTTGGAAAGAGCTCCAAAACATTCTTTTACAAAAAGAAAGAAGTTGCATAGAATGATCCCGATGTTGTACAAATACAAGTAATAATAATACATTATTGTAGGACTAGAAAAAATTTTGAGTATAAATACCAAACTGTCATTATTGGTTGTCTCTGCTGCTTGTAATAATATGTACTATGTATTTCTGTCATATTTGTGTTTTTAATAACTCTTCATTATATCATAAACAAAATGATAAAGATATTTTAGAGTTAGATAACATTTTCCATGACTAGATGATTCTATTGATCACTTTGCAATAACAATAAGTAATATTTACTGAGTGCTTTAAATTCCGAGGCACTGTGCTAAATATGTATGCATCAGCAGAATAATCCTGGAAGATAGGTACTACTATTATTTTATAGATGAGCCCAGAGAGGTCATTTCTCCTAAGGTGCCATTCTCTCCGACTACAAAATGTTCTTATCTCTGAGTTTGTCTTAACTCTCTGTACTCAGGCAGTTCCAGTCTCTACATTTAAATGTATCTGTAGTCAGCCCCCCCATCTATTTACTCTCTTCTCTTTGCATATACATTAAAACCACTGTAGTTCAGGTGTTCATTAATTCTCACTTGGAATATTACAATAGGTTTTCATTTATTCTTGTTTCCTATCCTTTTCTGCTATGTAATTCTCCAAGGTTAAACCTGCTAAGTAAAGTTCTAATCATAGTGATCATTCCTCATAACATATTCCAATATGTAATATACACTTATATGCAATAAATACCATATTAGTGTATTAATAACATAATGCCATAATATACTGTACTAACACATGTTAATAATATAATCATGTATCAGGAACCTCTTCAGTGGTCCTAACCTACAAATCTAGCTCTAACTCCTACTACCCCTACTGCCCTGAATCATTCTAAGCCTTGTTAACATCATTATTGTTTTTGAAATCAGCCAGCATGTTTCCTGTATCTTACTTATGCTAATGTCTCTCTTGGAATGCTTCCACAACCCTAATTCACCCACTGAAATCATATTTCCCCATTTAAACTCGAGTTCAGACATTACCTTTTTAATGAAATATTTTATGATTTCTTGCCAACAGTCATCATTCCTTAGTTTAAATTGCTAAAGCTCATTGCTTCAGCATCTATTATGACTTTTCAACAACTACCGGAGTTAATTATATATCTGTCTAAACCTAGGTTGTTAGTTCCCTGAGAAAATGGACTACATCTTGTTCATTTGTATTTATTGTATTCACTAGAGGGATTTGAACCTCATGATTAACATATATTTGTCAAATTTTACTGCAGAGTTTGTTCTAACCAGTGTTTTCACATGGTTTCTTCGCTATTTCCTTAGTATTAAAGTTTGAATAACCTTAGGCATGCTCAATAAACAACAATGCATTGATTATATGGATTAAATGGACAAGATGTTTGTTCTTTCCAAATATAATTATTGAGTAACCACCAAGTGCAGAAAGTTCTGAGTCTCTGACAGGAGGAAGAGGAAAAAACAACATTAT